GATGATGATGATGGTGGTGGTGATGGCGATGGTGATGATAGTGATGATGATGATGATGATGATGATGTGGATGTTGGAGAAGAGCTAAATGCTGGGGGACTGTACTGCCTTTTAGATATTTTAAAACACTAATCGTGGGACCGGCCTGGTGGCCTAGTGGTTAAGTTTGCATGCTCCACTTTGGTGGCCCAGAGTTTGCAGTTTCAGATCCGGGGTGCAGACCTAGAAGTGCTCATCAAGGCACACTGTGGTGGCTTCACACATGAAATAGAGGAAGATTGGCACAGATGTTAGCTCAGCAAAAATCTTCCTCAAGCAAAAAGAGGAAGATTGGCAACAGATGTTAGCTCAGGGCCAATCTTCCTCACACACACACAAAACTAATTGCCCCACCCTCTCATGAAATTTTTATACTACAGATATAGTGTATATCTAATTATATATTACATGTATATCTATATGTATCTTATACATAAAAGAGTAAGTTTTTTTTTTTTCATTTCTCCCCAAGAACCACGTTTTACCCTTTTGGAGGACATATCATTCCTTTTGAGAATGGACGTTTTATTGTATGTTTTTGAAAACCAGCTGGAGCTATTTTTGCAATTGAAAATAAATTGAAGGCAATACGAACAAAATGAAAAGCAAACCTAAAGTGCAGAAAAGCAGGAATGGTTGCTGTGAAATATGCGAAATAATGTATGTTTGTCACTCAACAGGGTCTCTCATGCAGGATCACCAAACCTGAGGCCACGCCAGCAATAATTTTTAAGGTTGATCCCAAACAGCCTCTTGGTGGTTCACAATATTTTTGTTTTCTTTCTACACAGGGTGTTGTCGTATATATAGCTGTGAAACGCCCACATCAAGCCCGCTGGGATCAAAGTCATGGCGTAAGTTGGTCAAAGGGAATCCGTATGCCCAAAGTGGTGGGAGGATGTTTTCTGGAGAGGAGATTCTTTTGTTCAGAGGCTCACAGCTGAACACTTGCTAGGAGCTAGTTAGTGGCAGAACTAGGGATAACAACCAGGTCGCCTAGTTCCCACTCCAGGTTCTTTCCTTTGTGCCTTGCACTTGCTGTGTGACCTCAGGCAAGTCTCATAACCCCTCTCATCTTCGGTTTCCTCAGCTGTGAAATACAGATAATGAGGGTTCCTATCCCACAGGGATGTCATGCAGCTTGAATCAAAAGAGGTAACTTTGTGAGCCACCTGGTTTGTGTGACAAGAACTTCCTAAACGGTAGTATGGTAGGAATGGGGATGAAATTTACTCAAACTACAACTCAATGTGGAAAACAAATCCATTTTTTAATGTTTCGCTAAGAATTCTCATCTTCCACATAAGCTCCTGCTGGATAGACGAAGAAAACATTGACAGTTCTTAGCGTTCTCAGTGTCTCAGTTCTTGGTTTAGTCATATTTGGGAAATCTAGTTTATACTGTATGAAGAATGAGCCGTTCCTCCCAAGATGGCATCTGGGTGTTGGTGTAGGGGCAGCTTACGGGATCTTGTAGCTGTGAAGTGTGGACTCCAGATGGGGTGTTTTGTCTACTGGTTGAGCCAGTCCTTGGTTCTTGCTTGTCCAGCAATCCTCTTGGAAGCTCCACATCTCTCAGGCGTCCACACAGGAGCTCCTGGTTTCCATGTCCAGGCCACAGGAACCCAGAAGAGTTTTCTCAGGCCCCCTACTTATCTCCCTCTGCTGATTCTGATCCTCGGCTCCCATGCCACATTGGATGTGGCAATAGCAGAAGGCGAGCTTTTGTTGAGAGGAGTCGACCCTTAGCCTTGATGCCCCTAAATTCACCCATCCCTATCTGGGTGTCTCTGAGGTGACCCATCTCCACTTACATTTAGCCTTGAGGTGAAGGGGCAGAGAAGCAGGAGTCCTGACTAGACTTCTTCATCTTGTCCTTCTTTTAGCTTCCCACAGTTTTCACTCTTCCTGTATAATAGGTATTTCCCTTCCATCGTATCCTGAGTCCTCTCTACCCTACAGCTTAATTAGAACTCTAGGTTCCAGTCCTCAAAGCCTAGCGATTGGAAACATTTTTATTGAGATACAACGTTGTGCAAGTGTGAGGTGTACAATGTGTCGATCTGATGCACTTAAATGTTGCAAAATGATTGCAGTGTAGCATTAGCTGACACCTTCATGACCTCACATAATTACCATCTTTTTTCTGTGGTGAGAACATTTAAGATCTGCTCTTAGAAAACTTTCAAGTATAGAATACAGTATTGTCAACTACAGTTACCATTCTGTACATTAGACCCGCCCCCCAAAACTTACTCATCTTATAAGGCTTTGCTTTCAAGAGCTATTGTCTTGCTGGGAACTGAAAAACCCAATTTGGTAATTAAAATCTGAACTGTAACATTTGGCTCTCGTTGTGTGTCTGCCACTGAGACATTTTAATTTTTCCTGAACGAGATGAAATCTTTTGGCAGAATGGTATGGAGATGGAGATCACATCCATATAAGTGGAAAAGAGAAAATTACATCAATATATTTCCAGAAAGATAATCCTTGATTAAAAAGAAAAATCCATCATTATTACAGAGCCCAGGAAACTCTCGGTTGGTGAGGAAGAGACTGTATTAATTTCCACAGCTCTGGGACCCAGCTCAGACCTGGCACAATACAGGCAGGTTAGGTAGATAAATAAAAGGAAGACCACGTGCTCCACATAGAGAGTAAGAGAAGTGTTATGGTAGACAGGCTTACAAGGTATTTATAAATGGGAACTCAAAAGGATTAACATCTGAGAAAATTTGGTACTATCAGGATTAAAACTGCATAAACACAGGTGGGTTAACTTTGTGCAAGTTCATTGAAGTGTACGCTTACAATAGTTGTGGTTCTCTGTATCTGTTACACTTAATAAAATGTGATAAAAATGCACATACTTTGACACAACAATCCTCCTCTAGAAATTTACTCCAAAGAGATAGTCATGTAATGTCAGAGACTTCTCACTATACGCTCAAGGATGTGCACATTCGTGCTACCCAGGTGACAACCTGGAATAAACTAAATGTTTTTTACACTTGGGGACTGGTTGGATAAATTGTTGTGTTTGTCAGAGTAACTCTAGCTACTGTAACAAATAAAATCAAAACTGTCAGTGACTTAATAAAAAAGAAATTTAATTCTTTTTTGTTGAAGCATCCAATGCAGATTTTTCTGGGTAATGGGTGGCCTTCCTCCATGTGTTTATTTGGGGACCCAGACTCCTCCTGTCTTGTTGCTCAGCCATGCGAGGGTCTCAGAGTCTTCTGCAGACAGTGGCAGAGGGGGAAAGAAACAGTGGAGAAAGCACACACCCTTTGTAAAAACCCAGACCTGGCGCTGACACATGTCACTTCTGCTCACTGTCACATGACCACACCTGGATGCAAGGTGAGCTGGGAAATGTGGTCTGTCATTAGGCAGTTGCCTCCTAGTGACAATTCCACACCCTGGAAAGGGGAATGTGGAATTTTTGTTTGATCTTTGGCTGCCTCATTACCTGTGGCACAGTTACAGCCCATGGATATAATGGAATACTATGCAGCTGTTAAAAAGCATGCATTAGGTCTGTATAGACTGACATGGAAAGTTGACCAAAACATATTCATTTCTTAACTTTTTATTACAGAAATATTTCAACACTCAGAGGTAGGGAAAATAGTATAAAAAACTCTCATGTGCCCATTGCCCAACTTCAACCCTTGACAAATTTTGCTCCTCTTTGTTTGCAAGACATACTGTTGAGTGAGACAGCAAGTAGAAATGGAACAGAGCTGTCCAACAGAACTCTCCACGTTGACAGAAATGTTCTAGCTCTACAGCAGCCACTAGTCACACGTGGTTATTGAGCAGCTGAAAAATGGCTGATATGACTGAGGAATGGCACGTTTCATTTTATTTAATTTTAATAGATTTAAGTGTAAATAGTAGCTACACTATTAGAGAGCACAAAAGATTGTAGATTGCATGATACCATCTGCGTTAAGAAAATTGTGTGAATTTATAAATTTATTTCTGTTTGATAATATGTTTGCATGGTTGAGTTTGCAAATACAACCCAGCCTTGAAGGGTTCACGCTAAGCTTTTGACATTAGTTACCTCTGGATATAAAGACGGGGGATGGGGAGATCTTCACTTTTAATTTTATATACTTCTGCATTGTCTGATTTTTTTTTACAAGAAGCAATTATTACCTTCTTAAAAAGAGATAAAGGAGCTGGCCCGGTGGTTTAGTGGTTAAGTGCGCATGTTCTGCTTCCACGGCCCGGGGTTCGCTGGTTCACATCCCGGGTGCGGACATGGCACCATGTGGCACACTGTGCTGTGATAGGCATCCCACATATAAAATAGAGGAAGATGGGCACGGATGTTAGCTCAGGGCTAGTCTTCCTCAAAAAAAAAAAAAGAGTTAGCTCAGGGCTAATCTTCCTCAAAAAAAAAAAAAAGATAAAAACAAAAGAAATGGAAATAAGGATTACCATCTGCTTTTGGTTAGTTTCTGTACAAGCGGAGCCTGAGACAAGGATTCTTGTGTGAGTAATTTAGGAAGGGAGGGCTCTCAGGAGACACTGGCTGACACTTGTAGGAGTGAGGAAAGCAGGATAGGGCAGCGGGAGAAGCTAGGCACTCAGAAGGCATTTCAGGGGAGGTTCAGCCACAGCCCCATCCCACAGCATGAATTGCACCAGAGACGGTCGCCTGCTCTGAGGCAACGGGATGGCTGTGCTGTTGTATTCCTGCGTCTGTCACTCATCACTTCTAGATCAGCGAAGCAGCTGGCAGATGAGTGTGCTAACCCGGTAAAGTGGATGGGGGGTGGTGCCGAGAGTGGCTACCACCCCACCTTTCTCACCTGGCAAGGTGTGAAGAACTCATGAGCTGATGTGGCTGAACCTCCAAGAAGAGACTGGATTCTCCTCTTCACAAAGCCATGCTTTCATAATCTGCCACGTGATCTCGGCACGCAGGGGGATGTGGAGCCTGGCTGGGTAAGAGGACGGCTCGTGGCCGGATCGCCAAGGGAACTAACGACTTCTCTTTCCTCTGCTTCCAGGTGAGAAGCTGAACTTGAAGGGGACGGCTTTTGGTAAGAGACTCCCCTGGACTGAAGGCCATCAGGCCATGGGCAAGGGCCTCCCTCTTTCAGTTTCATCATCTGATTGACGGGTATGGGGACGACCCCTACCAGATGGGGATGGTGAGGATTCAGCTCCACGTGGAGTTGTTAAGAGGTGGGCTCTGGAGCCACACGTCCTGGGTTTGAAGCTTGGTTTTGGCGCTCATTGCCATGGGGACCCCAGGTTTTTCAGCAAATTCCCCAAGACTTAAGTTGCCTTGGAAATGAGGGTGAGAGGAGTTGATCCCACGGGGTTTTGATGAAGATTAAATGAGTACAGGCGGTGCTTAGAATGGTACTTGAAACATGGTAAGTGCTCAATTATGTTAACCCTCCCCGTCCCCCTCCTTTTTTCCTCTCTCCTCCTCTTCCCCCTCCTGCTCCCTCCACCATCTCCTCCTCCCACTCCTCCCCCTCCTCCTCATCCTTCCCCTCCTTCTCTTCCTCCTTTCCTCCTCCGGTTCCTCCTCCTCCTCCTTGGAGGAACACATATTATCTGGTTCTTACTGGCTGGGCTGAAGCTGGGTCAAAGCTGGTAGCCAGCGAGGGGCACGGCCAGGACAATGACCAGAGGGAATCCCCTGACTCCCTCCCAGCGTTTGTCCATTCTCCTTTGCTCTTCTCTTGCTTTCCAACTTGTGGTGTGACCTGGGGCAGGTTACGTGAACTCTCTTGGGCATCCATTTCCACATTTGTAAAATGAAGTCGTAACCTTTCCCTTAAATAGGGTGACTGACCATCTTGACTTGCCCCAGACCAGGGTCGGGGTTGGGGGGGCTGGTTCCCGGGACATTGGACATTGAGGGCTAACAACAGGAAAGTCTCGGGGAAGCCAGGACAACTCGGTCACCCTACCCCCGAGCATTATTGTGGGGACTGCAGAAAATATATGGAAGGGGCCTGGTGCATGGAAGTCACTTACAAAATGGAAGCTCTAGTTCTATTTTTAAAAGTCCCTTTGCTTCTCTGAGTCTCATTTTTCTGATTAGGTCAATTAAATGACCATTAAATTATTTTGAGGATCGTGTGTGTGTCTCAGTTGGATTGTTGAAATGGTCAATGCCCTGGTCTCCCCACTCCTTGCTCTTCCAAGAGTGGCCAGAGGGCACCTGTGAGCACCTGAGTCAGGTCCCGCCCTCCTCTGCCCACAGCCTTCCAGGGCTCCCCCCTCCATGAGGGTAAAGGTCTGAGTTCTCCCTGTGGCCCCCCAGGCCCTGCATAACCTGGCCCATCCCCTCTCTGCTCTCCCTCCTCCCTCTCTCCCCCTTGCTCCTTCTACTCCAAACATGTGGGCCTCCTTGCTGTTCCTCCCACATGCCAGGCACAGTCCTGCCCCAGGGCCTTTGCACATGCAATTCATTCTGCCTAGAAAGCTCTTGTCCTGCGTATACATGTGGCTCTGTGCCTCACTTTCTTTATGTTTTAGCTCATGTGTCATCTTCTCAGTGACTACTCTATTTTGGACATTGTATCCCTCACCCCCGCCTCTCCAGATTACCATGTCTGTGAAGGTGGGGACCTTTGTGTGTCTTGTTCCACTACTGAATCCATAGTGCCTAGAATAGTGCCTGGCACATAGCAGGTATTTGTATTTGTCAGAGTTACCCAGAGAAACAACCAATAGGATTAGGAGGGATATGCATATATCTGTGTGTGTGTGTGTATTTATAGGGAAAGATTCATTTTTGGAATTGACTCACACAATTATGGAGGCTGGATCATCTCGAGATCTGCAGGGTGAGGTGCAGAGATCACGAGACTGGAAGGAATTTGGAGGACTGAGCAAGTAAATACGGTTGATGCAACAGGACAGGAGATGAACTGGAGAGGTCAGCAGGTGGCCAGTCACACAGGACTGGGTTGTTATTCTGGTTTCCAGTGGATCTGAGTTAGGAGAAATTGAGCTAGAAGAGAGTATTGGGAAGCTCAGAGCTGGGAGACCACAAGTGATAACATGCCGGAAGTCTGCAAAAAAAAAAAAAAAAAATGTTGCATCTGTAGCTGAAAGAGGAAGCTAGAAATGAGAAGAAAGATATTATCTGAGCCATCATACAGGGAAGGGAAATAAACAAGACACGCTGCAGGGAGCAAAAAGCCTGGCTCTCAAGATCCTAATAATGATAATCCATCCCTTATATTTTTATGGCACTTTATAAAGAGCTTTCCCGTGATATCCCATCCTACCAGTCGATGCTGGTGTTCTCATTGACTCTTCTCTTTATTTCACACCCCACGCCAATCCATTGGCAAATCCCATTAACGTTACCTGCAAAATAACCAGAATCCCATGATTTCCACAGCTCCCACCTGGGTTATATCCAACATCATTGGTCACCTGGACAAGTGTGGTCGCCTCCTCCCTGGTCATCCCAACTCTGTCCCTTTACAGAGCATCTTCAGACCAACGGGCAGAAGGATCATCTTCAAACCTAAGTTGTGCTGTCCTTCCTCTGCTCAAAACCCTTCCATGCTCCCGTCTCTCTCTGATAAAATGCTGAAGTCTTCCAATGGCCTAGAAGATCCTGCATGATCTGGCCGTGTCACCTCCTTGCACTCCCCCTTCATCCACTCTGCTCCAACCACACCGGCCTCCTCGTAAATCTGTGAAATCACCGGGCAAGGTCGTGCCAATGGGCATTTGCACTTGCTCTTTCCCCCACCTTAAATAGCTTCAAAGCTCAGTCACTCACCTCCTTCAGGTCTTTGCTTAAATGCTGCCTTCTCAGTGAGGTCTCTACTATTGAGCACCAACCATCAGGCACTATTCTATGCACTCGGGATGCAGTAGTAAATAAGATGGTCACAAATCTCTTCTGGGAGCTCACAGACCCTCAGGGAGACAGACTTGAAACAACCAATTATGAAAGTTTTTACACGGAATTATTTTAGAAATTGCCTGAAAATGTATTCCACTTCCAGCCAGACCTACCTCTTCTCACGTAGAAGAAGTGCAAATCACGCACTTTGGGTTTTGAAGGCTTGGCGCTACCACTCACGGGCTGTGTGCCCTTGGGCAAGTTACTTAACTTCTCTGAGCCTCAGTTGTCCACATCCGTATAATGGATAAGTTGTATTTGTTTCCTATTGCTGCTGTAACAAATCACCAAAAACTTGGTGGCTTGAAGCCGCAAAAGCATATTCTTCCAGTTCCGGAGGGCAGAAGTTTGAAATGGGCCTCACTGGGCTCAAATGAAGGTGTCGGCAGGCCCGCATTCCTTTCGCTAGGTTTTAGGGGAGAACTGGTTTTTTGCCTTTTCCAGCTTCTAGAGGCCACTGTATCCCTTGGCTCGTGTCCCCCTTCCTCCATCTCCAAAGCCGGCGATGGCTGGTCAAGCTTTTCTCACATTGCATCATTCTGACTCTGCCCCTCCTGCTTTCATCCTTCGCTTACGAAGACGTCATCTCCGTGATGACATTGGTCCCACCTGGATAACCCAGGGTAATCTCTCCATCTCAGGGTCTGTTGGTTAACACTCTTAATTCCATCTGCAGCCTTAATCCTCTTGCCAGGTAGCACAGCACGTTCACAGGTTCTGGGGATCAGGATGTGGCCCTCTTTGGGGGACCATTATTATGCCGACCACAGGAAGGATTGTGTCAAGTGAGTCTCTTCCCCGGCACCTGGAAACCTGGCCCACCTGTGGCTTTGTCCTCCTGGAGGTCGCGGTGTGGCAGTGGAGATGATCACTGAAGAGCTACTCACTCAAATAATCAAGCAATTATAATTATGATAAGTGCCTTAAACAAGGAGCACAAGGAGCTATGGGGGAGGCAGGGAAGGCTTCTTGGAGGAAGTGACATTGAAGCAAGAACTGGAGAATGAATAGGAGCTGGCCAGGCAAAGCAGAGGCAGAGGGAACAGCACGTGCAAAGACCCTGTGGTGGGAAGGCTAGAAATGGAGCATGAAGGGAGATGGGGTTGGGTCTGGCCACTGGGGGCTTTGTGGGTCTCGTTAAGTAATTTGGATTTTAATTCTGAGAGCAGTAGGGAGCATTCTAGGCAGGGGTAGGGGTGGGCGATCAAATTTGCATTCAGAGATGATTGCCCGGAACTATGGGGGACACAAGGATGTGGAATCCAGAGGAAGATCTGTACCAAGCATAGCTGTGGAGATGGAGAGACGTGGGTAGATGTCAAATATTTGGGAGGGAGAATCATGGTGGCCTGGGGACTCGTTGGAGGTGAGTTGAGGGCTAAACAAATAAACTGAGTACAGAGGAGTGAACCCCACTTGTCCTGGGGCTGGACTGGCGAGGATGCAGTTTTGATCATTTCCATAGAAATTTAATGACAACTTTGATGTTTACTTCCTTTTTTCCCATTTTTATCTCTGTAAGATATACTGTTTTTTATATAATTTTTTTATTGTGGTAACATTGGTTTGTAACATTATATAAATTTCAGGTGTGCATCATAATATATTTCAAATTCTGTGTAGATTACATCGTTTTCACCACTCAAAGACTAGTTACAATCCATCACCACACACATGCACCTAATCACCCCTTTCACTTTCCTCCCTCCCCACTTCCCCTCTGGTGACCACCAATCCAAGCTCTGTGGCTATGTGTTGGTTTGTCGTTGTTTTTATCTTCTACTTGTGAGTGAGGTCATGCAGTATTTGACTTTCTCCCTCTGATTTATTTCACTCAGCATAATACCCTCAAGCTCCATCCATGTTCTCACCAATGACCGGATTTCATCATTTCTTATGGCTGAGGAGTACTCTATTGTGTATAAATACCACATCTTCTTTATCCATGCGTCCCTTGATGGGCACCTAGGTTGCTTCCAAGCCTTGGCTATTGTGAATAATGCCGCAATGAACATAGGGGTGCAAGTATCTTTATGCCTTTGTGTTTTCAAGTTCTTTGGATAAATACCCAGCAGTGGGATAGCTGGATCATATGGTAGATCTATTCTTAATTTTCTGAGGGTACTCCATACTGCTTTCCATATTGGCTGCACC